TATATACTATGTAATTTTGTATATGGACGTATGTATATTTCTTATTATTTTATTTATTTTTATATACATAGATATATATATACAAATTATTCTAAGTGTGTATTTTGATATAAATATATATATATTAATTTTAAAATACAGTTAGAATAAAATTTCATATAGCTATATAATTTTTTTTTTTAATTTTTATTATTATTTTAAAAAATTATTTAATTTAAATTACTTATATTAGCTAATATATATATATATATATATATATGCCACACACAATTATAGTTATTATATATTATATATATAGTTATTATATATATTATATATATACGTGTGTAATTTAATTATAAGTGTATTTTTATTTTAATATAAGTACATATTAATATAAAAATACACTTAGTATGGTATTATATATATGATATATAGACATATATTATATAGATATAATATATGTCTATATATCATATTTATACATATATAATTATTATTATTTTTTTTATTACCATTAACTTTAATTTATTTTTTGATTTTACACTAGCAGGGAGACTGCCTGTCAGCACAGACAGTCTCCCTGCAGGCAGACACATGGACACCTATTGTGACCATGTGATCGCTGTGTTAAGCGATCACATGGCCACAGGGGTCCTAATTCAGTGTGGGGAGACTGTCTGGCTGCAGTGTCTCCCCACAAATCGAAAGAGTCGCTGGATCGCCGGGAACGACGGCCATCAGGTAAGTAGCTCTTGACCGTTAGGGGACGGTTCAGACCATCATCGTCCTCAAGGTAAAATGCCATGACGGTCCTCGAACCGCCCCCTCGTCCTTATATATTTAAAGTGCAACATTCATTAGAACATAACACATTTCCCTGGGGCTAATTACACAAAGTAAGAACCTTGCAAAATCTGGGGAGGTATATAGGTTCCTTCCAGCACAATTCCTTGCTTTCTGTCACACATCCTCCCCCCCCAGCTCAGACCTATAGGGTCGAGCGACCATGGACATTAGAGAGTGCATCCGCGAAAGACCATCTGCATTTCCCTGTTTACTCCCAGCCCTATGCTCAATGGAAAAATTATAGGGTTGCAAGCTAAGGAACCAGCGGGTTACTCTACTATTTTTCTCCCTGTTTTGGCTCATCCAAGTAAGGGGCGCATGGTCTGTCACTAGTCTGAATTTTCGTCCCAAGAGATAGTACTTAAGTGTGTCTACCGCCCACTTTATAGCCAGACACTCCTTCTCAACAATGGAATAGTTTCTTTCCTGGGGATTAAGCTTCCTGCTTAAATATAATATGGGGTGCTCCTCACCCTGAATTTCTTGAGAGAGAACAGCACCTAGTCCTACATCAGATGCATCGGTCTGTAAAATAAATTCTTTAGAAAAATCAAGTGTTAACAACACTGGTTGGGCACAAATGGCTTCTTTAAGCTTTCTGAATGCTTGTTCCGTCTCTGGGGACCATTTTACCACTACTGGAGCATTAGCTTTAGTAAGGTCAGTTAATGGGCTTCCAATTGTAGCAAAATTGGATATAAATCTCCTGTAATTGCCAATGAGGCCAAGAAATGTTCTCACCTGTTTCTTAGTCAGAGGTCTCGGCCAATTTCGCATGGCTTCAATTTTAGCAACTTGGGGTTTCACTAGTCCCCTACCAATAGAGTAGCCCAAATATTTTGCTTCCTCTAGGCCAATCGTACACTTACTAGGGTTAGCAGTTAAGCCAGCATTTTGTATTGAGTTAAGGACAGCCTGTACTTTTGGAAGGTGAGATTCCCAATCCTCACTGTGTACTACAACATCATCCAAGTATGCAGCTGCATAGCGCACATGCGGCTTTAGTATTCTGTCCATCATTCTTTGGAATGTGGCAGGGGCACCATGCAAGCCGAAAGGCAAAACTCTGTACTGAAATAGGCAGTCAGGAGTAGAAAATGCTGTCTTTTCTTTTGCTCGCTCTGTGAGTGGTACTTGCCAATAACCTTTGGTTAAATCTAGTGTAGTGAGGTACCGAGCTCTCCCAAGTCGTTCTACTAGCTCATCAACTCTAGGCATGGGGTATGCATCAAACTTAGAAATAGCATTCAGTTTGCGATAATCATTACAAAACCGCACTGTATTATCAGGCTTTGGTACCAGCACAATTGGACTGCTCCAGTCACTTTGTGACTCCTCAATGACTCCAAGATCTAACATTTTCTTAACCTCTGCTCTGATAGCTTTTCTACGAGCCTCGGGTATTCTGTATGGTTTGAGATTGACCCTTTTTCCTGGTTCTGTTAAAATGTCATGTTTAATCACGCTAGTCCTTCCTGGGACTGGGGAGAATACATCTTTATTTAATCTAATAAACTCCTTAACTTCCCTTGTCTGGTGTATTGACAGGGTCTCTGAGATATTTACTTCGGGGTCAATATTACACTTATCAGGGAAGGTTGAAGCCTCTGTAGTAACCAGAATTTCCCTTTCTTTCCATGGTTTTAGCAAATTGACATGGTATATTTGCACTTCCTTACTTCTACCTGGTTGCCTTACTTTATAATTTACCTCTCCCACTCTTTCAATAATCTCATATGGCCCATGCCAAGTTGCCAGGAATTTGTTCTCTACTGTGGGAACCAAGACTAGTACTCTGTCTCCTGGTTGAAATACTCGAATTCTAGCATCCTTATTATAGCTATTCTGCTGATTTTGTTGAGCCTTTTGCATGTGTTCTCTGACTATTGGCATAATGGCTTCAATATGTTCCTGCATCTGAGTTATGTGTTCTATTACACTGCGATGTGGGTTTGCTTCTTGTTCCCAAGTTTCCTTTGCTATGTCAAGTAATCCCCTGGGGTGTCTGCCATATAATAATTCAAAAGGTGAGAAACCCGTGGAAGCTTGGGGTACTTCTCTAATGGCAAACATTAAATAGGGCAATAGAAAGTCCCAGTTTTTCCCATCTTTATCAATTACTTTGCGCAGCATAGCCTTTAAGGTTTTATTAAATCGCTCGACCAAACCATCGGTTTGTGGGTGATAAACAGAGGTTTTGAGGTGTCTAATGTGAAGGAGCTTGCAGAGTTCCTTTGTAACCTTGGACATGAATGGAGTACCCTGATCTGATAGGATCTCCTTGGGAATCCCAACCCGGCTAAACATCATCATTAACTCTTTAGCAATGGACTTTGCTGAGGTTGTGCGCATAGGTACTGCCTCAGGGTAACGGGTAGCATAGTCTAGTACTACTAATATATACTGATGCCCCCTACTGGATTTCACCAGAGGACCCACAAAATCCATAGCAATACGTTCAAAAGGCACTTCAATAATAGGCAAGGGTACTAAAGGGCTACGGTAAGCCGTTAAGGGGCGCAGTGACCTGACATTCAGGGCATGACGAACAGTAGTTTTTGATAGCTGCGATTACTCCAGGCCAGTAAAATCTCCTCAAAACACGCTCTCTTGTTTTGTCAACCCCTAGGTGACCCCCCAAAACATGGCTATGTGCAAGGTTTAACACAGTGCGCCAATAGGTTTGTGGTACTAACAGCTGCTTTGTAATAACGGACTCTTTTTTCTCAACTCTGTACAACAGATCATTATCCACTTCAAAATAAGGGTAAGTAAGAGAATTCCCTGGATTGACAGGGGATCCATTCCTTATAGAAATATTATTCCTGGCTACCAATAATGTTGGGTCAGACCACTGTGCACTTCTGAAGTTACCAGGCCTAACCTCTAAATCAACTAACTCTATATCTGGTTCAGAGTTTCTAGAAGGTCCCGCATTAGTTTGTTCTGGGTTTTCACCAACTAATGTTTTTATAGGGGAGTGCTGCATACTGTTAGGCTCATCATCATGATCTCTCTCATCTGCCAGAGTATCTGCAAAAGGAAATTCATCATTCCGTTCACCTGATGGGTTTTCAAAACATGCCCATAGGTCTAGAAAATGGGGAAAATCCCTTCCAATAATCATCTCATGTGCCAGTTTTGGTACCAGCCCCACTCTGCAGTTTACAGTACCAGACTGGGTTTTAACAAGTATATCTGCAGTAGGGTAGTTATGTATATCCCCGTGTACACAAGCAATATCAACTTTTCCAGAGTAAACAATATGAGTATCCTGTAATAAGGATTGGTCTAGAAGGGTAACCATACTCCCTGAATCTAGCAATGCCTGTATATTTTTTCCCTCCACATTCACGGTACACCCAGGGTGACTATTCAAATAACCATTTTTTTTCCACAGAACATACAACCTGCGAATAGAGTGCAATTCCTTCCCAATTATTACCAAAATTACACTCCATTGGTTCAACATTTCCAGGACAGTCTTTTGCAATATGTCCAAAGTTTCTGCATTTAAAGCATTTTATACCATAATTAGTACTTTTTGATTCATTTGTAGGCTCTTCCCACCTCCCAAAGTCTTTTTCTCTTTTAACATTGTCTCTTGTGTAATAAGACCCTGTTCTCTTATCAAAAGACCCCCTTTTCCCTGGAACAGTCTTACCAGATTTGCTGGGGTTGTAGGTTTTCGGATTCTTGGGTCTCTCTTGGCCAGGAGGTTGAAGCAGTTCTCCCGCTGCTATATACCGTTCAACCAATTCAACCAATTGGTCAGCTGTTTGGGGATTGCTCTGGCTGACCCACCGACAAAGCCCAATAGGTAAGCCTCTTAGGAATCTTTCCATCACCAGTTGCTCCACAATGCGGCTGGGTGAGTTGATCTCTGGCTGCAACCATTTTCTGGCAAGGTGTATCAAGTCAAACATCTGGGAACGAATCGCTTTATCCAGGCTGTAAGTCCATGAATGAAATCTCTGGGCACGGACGGCTGTTGTCACCCCCAGGCGTGCCAGTATTTCTGCTTTCAGCTTCTTGTAGTTACTGGCTTCCGCTGGTTCCAGATCATAGTATGCTTTCTGGGATTCACCAGTAAGAAACGGTGCTAGCAGACTTGCCCATTCCGCTTCAGGCCAACCTTCTCGCTCAGCGGTTCGCTCAAATGCCATCAGTAGGCCTCTACATCATCTGTGGATACCATCTTTTGCAAGTAGTGACTCACTCTGATCACCTTTGGACATTGTGGTAAGTCTGTGGCATCCCTGGCCAGCCTTTGTGATAGACTCTGGATCTCCTGCTGTATGACACGTGGCACGCTGCTGCCTGTGTTGCTTCAACTTGCTTAAATAAAGTATCTGTATTTTCCTTTTGAGCCAGTACAAGCTGCTGCAGTATTGAAATGCTCTCTTGCTGTATTGCATTAGTCTCTGCAGTCCTCCTATTTGTCTCTTGCTGTACAGCAGTGGACTGGAGCAAAGCTTTCATGACATCCTCCATTTTCTCAGCAGTCTCTTTCTCCCTACTTACAGACTTTGCCGTGTGCTGCCCGCATTCTCCACCATATGTGACAAAAGTACTCCTTTCCCTTGGTACCTTGTCCTGGGATTGGGATGTTACACACAGTCTTTTCAGGCTTTAGAGACACTTCACACGCTGGATGAGGTAAACTGACTTGCTCTTTTATTGAGGTTCCAAAATAAATGCACAGTAAGGTATAAAGGTAACAGAAATATATCAAACAAAAGCCTTGCTCTTCTGAGCACTAACTAAACAAAATAATCAGCTAACTGGGTTGGATGGCTTGTCCATTTCCCAACATAAACAAACAGCCTTACTGCTTCAGGGTTTTCAGCTCTCTGTTTCCACTCACAGAAACCAAACACAAAATCTCTCTTCTTCCTTGGCAGGGGAGTACTTAATAGCACTGGTGATTGACAATCCTTTTCAGGTGAGTTAGATTAGGATTCAAACTCCAGAACTGGACTTCTCACCAAGCAACTTCCAAAATGTGGAGTGGAGCACTGGCCCACCCTACTCTCCAGGTGCTCCACCTCAGGGCCCAAATATACACATATTTAAAGTGCAACATTCATTAGAACATAACACATTTCCCTGGGGCTAATTACACAAAGTAAGAACCTTGCAAAATCTGGGGAGGTATATAGGTTCCTTCCAGCACAATTCCTTGCTTTCTGTCACAATATATATATATATATATATATATACACACACACACACACATACACACACACAGTATATGCTGCAGTGCTGTACAGATATACAACTTAAAACTTTGTTTTTACTTGGAGCACCTTGGAAAAAAATTTGAAATATAATAAGCTGGAAACTTTTTCTTGAAGAATTTTAATTGTGTGTACCCTTGTCTACGCAGCTGGTCGCTAATACTTTCTATGGGCAGTCTGAGGGATCACGATAAGCACTAGCAGAGAGGCCTATCTGTGTGAATAACATTACAGTAATACTGCTGTGTAACTAATAATACTACATTATCACGCAGCAATACTGTAATGTTATAAGCTATAACCTGTAAGCTCGTTTGAGCAGGGTCCTCTTCAACCTATCGTTCCTGTAAGTTTTCTTGTAAATTGGCCTATTTTTAGTGAAATCCCCTCTCTCATAATATTGTAAAGCGCTACGGAATCTGTTGGCGCTATATTAATGGCGATAATAATAATAATAATAATAACCAAGAGAGACGGGCTGAGCTGTACCAACATGAAAATAGAAACTATTTGCACAAATTTTCAGCACACAATTTTGGATGGGGGGAAAAAATTTTGCACAAGAGAACATTTCTGCACTAAAATAAAAACTAGAGGTGCCATTGTGTGTGACAGGAGTCTGCTGCAATACCAGCTCCATGCCCCCTCCATCAGCCATGGCTGCCAGCCTTACCTTCCACTGTCTCTCCCCATTCAGCTCAATGACAAGGCATGGGGAGCAATGAATACAGAAAACACCCCAAACCCGGGAGGCAGAGCTCACCTTGGCCCTCTGGTAACGGTACTCCCGCCAGCACGAGCACTGCCGTCAGTTGGCAGCCGCCTGGTAATAAATGGCCCCAGCATTCTGTGCTGCCAACTGACTGGAGTCCTCGCGCGCACAGCTTTGCGCTCTTCGCCTTCCCTATACACGCACACAGCACAGGCTAGCTTAGCTACGCCCACAGACACCGAGCCGCGTTTCCGCGTGTATTGTCCCTGCCGAGGATCCGTAGTGGTTCTGTCCTGGACTCCTGCTTCTCCCACGTGTTGAAGCCGGATGCAGAGTGCTCGCAGGACAGAGCCACGCTGAGGATACAGTGTCTGCCCAGGTCAGAGCAGCCGTGCTACTATTTATATAGTGTACTTTATCCACGCTGTGCACGGTGACAGCCTTCAGCAATATATTGTAACCATGTGCTCAGAGCCTGCAATGTGGCTGTTTAACTCTGAACCGTGCCTGCCCCCCTTAGCTGCTTGGTAGAAACATTTAAATCTAGCATGCCTTATAATTGGAGGCATGTTATCGTTGTCTGTAAGTATATGTTCATTGTATCAAGAAATCAGTATCAATTCTTCTACAGTAACTTTGACGTGAGATATGTTACTGAGCATCGGTTTCATGTAGGTAGTTGAAGGGGTGATGGTTTAATTACCTGCAAGGAAGTGTGAAGTACAGCATATGCCTGTGTTTTAACATTTAGTTAATGTTTTCTCTACCTCTGTTGCAGTCACCCTTTATCTTATGGCTGCTGCACCTATTAAAGATGGTTTGTCTCAGCCCCCTGATACTAAAGCGACAAGAAAGGCATGTGCCCTCCAAGAGGAGCCTGGGGCTGTGGAGGAAAATGGACACACTGCCAAAAGATTTAAACCTGACCATGAGGAACAGAACAAAAAAACGCCGAAAAGAAAGGTGGTCCTACTAATGGCTTATTCAGGGAAAGGTTATCATGGAATGCAGGTAAGAGTTCTGTGTTTTGGGGTATAATACTACTACGCTTTGGAAATTCAGGAACTATACAGATAAGAAAGGAAAGCAGAATAATAAGTTATAGTGAAAGGATAAATCTGTATTTATACAGCTATTCTCTGCTTGTTAAACATGTTTTATGCGGCATTCACACACAATGCAAATCCCCACCTTTCCAGACAAGCTGTTTTATTGTGAAGCTGCCATCATCTTAAACACCTCCACAGAGGTAATGCTATGTAATTGCTGCCAAGTACTTAAATATATGCTCCATAAACTTCTGCTATGCCCGGGTTTGAGTATGCTCCTCTTCTGCTCAAGACAGAGCTCACTTTGGATGCTGTAAAGCCTGGATAGCTGCAAAGTTATGTACTTTAAAATTTGAGATTTTTATTTTCATTGCCTTAAATGACCACTCTAGGCACCCAGCCCACTTCAGCTTAATGAAGTGGTCTGGGTGCCAGGTCCCTCTAGGACTAACCCCCCCCTTTTTTTTTTTTAAATAAAAATAGCTTCAGAGAAACTATGTTTATAATAGGGTTAATCCAGCCTCCAAATCCTCTAGTGGCTGTCTCATTGACAGCCGCTAGAGGCGTTTGCGTGATTCTCACTGTGAAAATCACAGTGAGAAGACGCCAGCGTCCATAGGAAAGCATTGTGAATGCTTTCCTATGAGACCGGCTGAATGCACGTGCAGCTCTTGCCGCGCGTGCGCATTCAGCCAAAATGGAGGATCGGAGGCGGAGAGGCGAGCTCCCCGCCCGGCGCTGCAGAAAAGGTAAGATTTAACCCTTCCCTCTCCCCAGAGCCGGGCGGGAGGGGTCCCTGAGGGTAGGGGCACCCTCAAGGCACTATAGTGCCAGGAAAACGAGTATGTTTTCCTGGCACTTTAGTGGTCCTTTAAAGATGCATTCTGAGTACCAGAGCAACAGTCCCTGTCTCTGCAGTCTTGCAATGTAAAACCAAGAAATGGCTAGTTTCCTTAGAAAGTTCCTTTTAGATTTAGAACATACCCAGTGGAGCAGTTCGATTTTTGTCTTGTATAGTGCAATGTCTGTTCATAGTCAAAGTATTCTGTTCAATCTCCTTGTATCGCACTGATTTGAACTACAAACACAGCCCTATTCTGATGGTTATACTGTGCCCTTCAGAGAAATGTGGGATCCTCCCAGTTCAAAACAATTGAAGATGAACTAGTCCAGGCACTTGTAGGGGCTGGCTGTATCCCAGAGAATCATGCTGAAGAAATGAAAAAGATGTCTTTTCAGCGGTGTGCTCGCACAGACAAGGTAATCAATCTTTAAACTGTATATACTTGGACATTTAATGGCAAGGCTTCAATGGACACTCAAAGCACTATAGCAGGTGTAGGCAACCTTCAGCAATCCATATGTTGTAGACTACATCTCTGTTGCTTTATCAGTATGGTTGTAAGAGAATTATGGGAGATGTAGTCCAGAACATCTGGAGAGCCAAAGGTTGCCTACCCCTGCACTATAGCAATCTATGCTCATTGCATAGTAGAGCAGCTTCTTGTATCCATGCACCTGCAGTGATTTCCATGGTAGAGGGGAAATGTTACTTCTTCTATGCTCTCCCATGCCTGGATGGCACATGCTGTACAAGTCCTTGCATCCCTGTAGCAGCAGCTTTTTTATATTAAAAATAAAATAAAAAAATATATATACACTTCTGAGCTATATTATGATTTCTGCCTTGTACAATGCATTGTTTATCAGTAGATCTCAATGGGCAGTAACACTAATTAATAAATATATATATATATATATATATATATATATATATATATATATATATATATATATATATATATATATATTAATTAGTATTTTAATGATATTCACACAAACCAGAATACATGTTTTGTCATTCCTTCTAGCACCCCTCCTGTCCTAATTGTCATTGTCAGAATGTGATATCCATGTAGTGTTACTGCCCATTGAGATCTACTGATAAACAATGCATTGTACAAGGCAGAAATCAGAATATAGCTCAGAAGTGTGGATTTCCCCCCTTCCGCCCCCCAGTGTAATATATTGCAAAAAAAACCACAGAAACCTTCCATCTCACAAACCCTGACCCTAGTAAATCTGGCGCGATGAAAATATTCACTTATAATAAGTGAATTGACTACAGGTTAGAGATAAGTATTTCAACCATCCACATATATCAAGTATACTTTTCTGAATAGCGAATTCTAAAGGCAAGTGTTTCTCACTGGATTGTAATATCTCTCTCAGGGTGTTTCGGCTGCAGGGCAAGTGGTGTCATTAAAGATCTGGTTGATAGACAACGTAGTAGAAAAGATTAATGAACACCTTCCATCACACATCAGGATTTTGGGTAATTGTATATTTATGCATGATTCTCTTTTGTTTTATAGAGGTACTATTCTGTTTATCTATGAGAACTACACTTCACATAAAAAAATATCAGAGCTGAACCGTAACCTAGCATATTGCTTGCACTTGACCACACGTATGTATTAGTTCATATTGTTATCTCTAGATGTATCCGTTCTAGGTTCCATAAACAACAGGTCTGAGCTGACTCCTAAATGCTACACAAATTTGTACCATCCTGAAATAGACATTGACATTTGTAAAATATAATAATAATAATTTAAAGGCTGTTTACAGTCCATTTAAGGGGACAGTCTAAAAACCATGTCTACTACAGTTTATTATAATGTTCATGGTGCTAGCGATATGTGCTTTTTAAATCCTCATATATTTGGAAGATATTTATTATTATTATTATTATTCATTGACTATTGTCATTCAGCCTATTAGAATATTTATTTAAAAAATAATTTTTATAAAAAATATCAAAAAAAAAGAATAAACTTTTTTAATATCAAAATCGATATTTTGGCACACTGTCCCCTTGATTGGTTTAAAGCTAAGAGTTACTATTTTAACTCTAGTCCCTGGAGCACGTTTGTTAGCTATTTATATTGCACACATTAATCACAACCAATTTATAAAAATATAATTTATTGTGACAAATAATATGTAACATGCATGATAATCGGTGAATATTTAGTATAACAATAGGCATAAAATATGGCAACCATGACCACAACAGAGATAATTTCTAGATCACTTATCTTATAGTGATGGGTTAGCAGTCCACTCAGAAATTATCTACCAGTCGGGGTCAGTATTCTTGGCAGGTAACAGTACAGATTTTCAATACTCGTGAATAATCAATTGGCTATTAGTAACAATATTCCATCACATATCAATTCATTTCTAAAAGAATTATTCTATTTCTATCTTGTCTAGAACTTAATTGACATATCATCAATACAGATCAGAAAAACGACTGCAGAACAAAGCCATTAACTGATAGCAGTTCAGATAAAATTAAGTTACGTTCACTGCTTCCTGAATTCTCACACAGTAAACACTTTAACCATTATAAACAAAATACAATGTTTCATCTTACGCAGATAGTCAAATTAACTATTCTTTACCATCCAATAACCATAAGAAAATATGGTCTAAGTCTTTACTAGAGTTATTTAACACTAATTACAACTCATTGCAATCTCTTGGTATCTGATACAATATTAAAACTTATCCCTGAATTACTATGTGTCTAATATCTCTGGCTAATAGCTTGATGTGCTAAACTTGGCAAATTACCAGCAAATCAGTATAATTCCTTTAATTTCAGCTGCAGTCTGAAATCCTGAATTATATCATTCCCTTTTAGCGAATTATGATTCCAAAATTTTGAAATCTGATCAGCATTATCCAGGTATATTTTTGTTTTTAGTAAAAATTAAGTTAAACCCATATATAATTACCAATCTTGTAGAATACCTGTTGCTGTTCCGGATGAAATAATAATCCAATGAATGTGAGCTAAGAGTCTTTAAAGATAGAATATAGTATGAGAATAGCAAATTTAGAGCAGTTATGCAAAAAAAAAAAAAAGAAATCCAGAATTAGTCTGGCTAACAAAGGAATTCACGATGGAAAAGATAGGTGTGCCTTCAAAAGTGTTGAGTATCTATTCGCAAGAGTGTATGTATATCTTTGATTTTTGTTTTCCTTTTCAACAAGTGTGTTTTTACTTTTTAAGGAATTCTCTCATCTCTATTTTGCACATCAACCTTTTAAAGTGATTAATGGAATCAGATGGGTGTAAACATCCTAGTGGTCAGTTGTATCGATAATAACCAATAGATGGCGTAGTTATTTCATTATTTTTATTGCTGGTAAGGAGTATGTCTTATGGGCAATTCTTATCTGATTCTGGATTACAGGTTTACTAACCATCCATTGTGTTAGACTACTTGTTGCTGATAATGTCTTAAAGGGATCTTATAGTGCCAGGAAAAAAAAAAACGTTTTCATGGCACAATAGGCTACTGGAGGGCCCCCTCCTTTGGGGCTCAAGGGTTTAAAACCCCTTTAGCCACTTACCTGAATCCAGCACAGATGTCCCTCGGTACTGGGTCAGGGTCCGGCAACACTCCTCCCCCGCCGACGTCAGCCAGTGGGGGAGGCCTAATGCGCATTATTCAATGCTTTCCGATGGGGAAAATCTGACTGAAGGTCCGTGAGATAACAGACCAAAAGTCTGTTTGGATTCCGGAAGCCGTCTAGTGGTATACAGCCATAGAGGGCAGACTTAGAGCTCCAATGTAAACATCGTGGTTCTCTGGAACTGTAATGTTTTACATTGCAGCACGAAGTGCAAAAGGGTCACATCACCCAGACTACTTGAATTAGCTGAAGTGGTCTGGGTGCCTACAGTGTCCCTTTAACATATGTTTATATATTTAATACACACAAAGTTAGTGTTAGAATTTAATGATAATGAAATCTTTTCAAATTAGTATTTTAAATATATAAGAAAATTTAAAGAGGAGTATTATTATAATATATAACTAAACTTAATTATATTGTAAGCTTGGGCTTTTTCTCAAACCCCTCCACCCATCCTCCTTTCTAATACTTTAATTTTTATGTATAGACACAAAAGGAAATGAGAGTCGGCTGTACATAATCTAAAACAGGAACAAAAAAGAACACATAGTGTGATACAGTAAAACAAATGTTAGTGTGCTAAGATGGTAATGCACTCACAAGATCAGAATGAATAGTGCGCCAAAAGTGTGCCTGCCCCGGTAAACTTGGGCGGCTGAACGCCTCCACTCTCCACTGGAAATCCAAGCGGACCAAATTAGGAATGAGACTCCGATGGGTTTGGATAAAATAATTATGCAAATTTATTGTAAATAAAGGGCCATATACATTAGCCACATAAATAAAATAGAGGAAAGGTCCTACGCGTTTCGTTCCTATAAACAGGAACTTCCTCAGGGACCAAAAACAAATAATGTAATAAAAACAATCAATACAAAAAATGCATACAATATTTCCCCCCCCCGAGTCTCTATAAATAGGACTAAGTCCTCAGTTCATTGGTGGATCCAGTGGGAGTTACCGATGATTCAATGATCCTATTCAGGTGTAGAATGTCTGATGATCCTGTGCAGCTGTGGAGTAGATGTTTCGGCGGTCTTTCTTGGCGCAAAACGATGAAACCGGAAACCGGAAATGAAAGTCCGGTATTACTTCCGCGTTCCATTGACATATGCGTTCCAACTGAATCATAATGAACAATTTGCACATATCGCCACCTTGAGGTTGCCTGATGTATAGCAATTCTAATCTAAATTTAACAAGGACATATATAACAGTAGATCTCCTAGTGGGAAAAGAAATATAAATAGATTGCAGGACTAAACATACAGGAAAATATAATAAATAAGTGAACAAATAAATGAACAAACATAAAATGCTTTTCCCACAATATTATTTCCCTCTCATATCATTTTTATATTTAAAGTAAAAAATGTATTTAAATACATAAACCTTCCCTTGAACCTACTTTTTATTTCAATAGATCATTGTGGAAATAGATATAATCCATACATAAATCCAATATTGTGCTTTCTATAACGTGATAATTAGTGTTGCATTCTATAAACCCATTAGATGGATTGCCATACGACTCTCCAAATTATTATATGAAGTGTATATTTCACAATAATAAAAATAATAATTCTAATTTGTGTGTTGTAATTAGTAAGTATCCATCAATCAAATGGGATACCATACAATTCAATCTTTATCTATTAGAAGTCTCTTCTTACTAACACCCTATCATGAATATATATATATATATATTTTTTTATATTTGATTATTATAATACTTAATTTAATATCTTTTGTAATGTAAAATATTCCTTAATGATCGAATGTTTCCATATAGTACTTTCTTTTATATATCCTTATTAAAGATTGTTCCTGTAAAATTATGATGATATAGATATTATTAATTAATTAGTATATAGATATCCCATATTATATTACAGAATAACGATCAAGACCATATATATATATATATATATATATATATATATATATATATATATATATATATATATATATATATGTCTTCTGTAGCCTCTAACAAGTGCAAATAACAGAAAAAAAAATGTGTGTGTGTGTGTATATGTATGTATGTATATATGTGTGTGTGTATGTGTGTATGTATGTGTATATATATATATATATATAAAAAAAATCCCTCTTAGGCACCGATGTAGAACAAAAGGAAAAACTAATCGAGGAAGCAAATGAGGTCTATGTCAAGGTTAAGACCTCTTGGGTGAAGGGTCTGGAGTTTATGAATGTGCAAATTGTGCAAATTTTTTAAGTCTATCACCTCCCCTCCAGTAGGGCAATACTCTTTTTTTTTTTTTTTTTCTATTCCTACACACTTAAAATTGGAAAATGAGAACAAAGGACAAGTGTTACAATGGGTGGGTACAGAGTGAGTGGTGATCTTCTTTTTTTTATATTGTTCAGATGTTCCATAAATCGTACTTTCAAAATCCTTTTCGTGCGCCCTACGTATTGTTTGCCACATGGACATTGCAGTAAATAAACCACATAGTCCGTGTGGCAACCTATATCCATTTTAATATTGAACCTCTCTGTACTGAAACTGGAGAAAGAGTTAGTTCTAGATACAAGACTGGTGGTGCAGACTTTACATGTGCTGCATCCTCTAAAGAATCCCAATGAATTGGAAGCAGTTGGATGTGTAGATTTTAGGGCATAACTCGGAGCCAGCATGTTTTTAAAATTTCTATTTTTCTTATAGATAACTTTAGGTTGATGTGATAATGTGGTCCCTAAAACTGGGTCCTGTAGTAGGATCGGCCAATATTGTTGTAAACTTTTCTTTATTTTATTGTGATCAGTATTAAACTGTGTTATAAAAGCTGATGTAAAATTTGTGTTGGAAATTTCAATCTGAGGTTTGTCAACCAATAATTGGTTCCTGTCAATCTGTTTAACTAACCGAATCTCTCTCTCTAAGGCGTTTTTCTTATACCCTTTCTCTATCAATTTATTTTTGACATGTGTGGACTGAATATTAAAATCCTGGCTATCTGAACAATTGCGTCTCAAGCGTGTAAATTGGCTTTTTGCAATGCCCCTCAGCCAGGGTTTGTGATGACAACTACGTTGATGGACAAACCCGTTTCCATCAGTAGGTTTGAAAAAAAACTTGGTTCTAATCTCTCCTTTGTCAATGAACAGGGTCAAATCCAAAAAATTGATTTCATCCTTATTCCAGACCGGGGAGAGAACCAGATTATAAAGATTGCAATTTAGAAAATTGACAAAATCCTGAAACAAAGAAAAAGAACCACTCCAAATGATATCACCTATGTAACGCCGCCAGAGCACCAGGTTCTCCCTCCAGTCATGACCAGACCAAACAAAAAGATCCTCCCAACGTCTCATGTAGGTATTCGCATAACTGGGGGCGAACCTGGTGCCCATGGCTGTCCCCGTGGTCTGTAAATAAAATTCACCATTGAAATAAAAATAATTGTGTTTCAAAATAAAATTAACTGAAGTTAGGAGAAATTGTTTAAGATTTGATGCCAGATTCCTGTCTTGTGTCATGAAGTGATTTAATGCTTCCACCCCCAATTCATGGTTGATAACAGTGTAGAGAGATGTAACATCTAGCGTGGCCCAACTATACTCCGCATGCCACTCAATGCACTCTAATTCCTGCAGAAAAGAAACATCTACTCCACAGCTGCACAGGATCATCGGACATTCTACACCTGAATAGGATCATTGAATCATCGGTAACTCCCACTGGATCCACCAATGAACTGAGGACTTAGTCCTATTTATAGAGACTTTTTGTATTGATTGTTTTTATTACATTATTTGTTTTTGGTCCCTGAGGAAGTTCCTGTTTATAGGAACGAAACGCGTAGGACCTTTCCTCTATTTTATTTATGTGGCTAATGTATATGGCCCTTTATTTACAATAAATTTGCATAATTATTTTATCCAAACCCATCGGAGTCTCATTCCTAATTTGGTCCGCTTGGATTTCCAGTGGAGAGTGGAGGCGTTCAGCCGCCGAAGTTTACCGGGGCAGGCACATTTTTGGCGCACTATTCATTCTGATCTTGTGAGTGCATTACCATCTTAGCACACTAACATTTTGTTTTACTGTATCACACTATGTGTTCTTTTTTGTTCCTGTTTTAGATTATGTACAGCCGAATCTCATTTCCTTTTGTGTCTATATATGTATATATGTGTTGTAAAAGGTCGGGAACTGGGCCACGACCTTGAGAGGCTGTTTGATCGAATACTTCAGATAAGTATATCTGGATACTAGTACGGTTTTTTCACGTCAATAGTGTTTGAGATACTATATACATATATACATTCATATATTGTTGTTGGGTTTTTTTTTTGTTTAATTTTTATGTGCAGTGTAGGGTTGTAAAAGATGGAGATCGTTATCTTATCCACATTCCAAGGCTTTTACGATATGTACTGCAAATAAGAGACACAATTCTTGTCTCTTTTCACTAAATAAATAGTGTTTAAGAGAGAAAAAAAAGTCTGTCTGTCTTTCTGTTACTAGCAAGCAAAATATAGTCACATTTGCTGAACCGTGACTTGTCATATATTGATTTTACCCACAAGATGTGTGACAAGCTATGCAAATATTTGTACAATATATATACCCCCAACTTGCTTACACCATTTAAGTTGGTTTCCTTTACTTACAGGAGCTGTTCTGCATGCATTCATGTCAGAGCTCATACAATTAATGGAAATTTACTTTAGGGGGCATGAGACTGCCTCATGTCCAATTATAATAGGGTGAACAGGAATGGAGGATGTAGTCTGGGTACTAGAGGGAAAAACATCAACATCTTATGAGGACTTAAAAGATAAAGCAGTTGGGACAGGTTTCTAACACTATAAGAATTGTAACAAGCTTTATTTTATTTTTTTGCATTTCTTTGATCCAGCAAATCTAAAACACACTAAATAACACAAAAACCTATATGCTGTTTTTGGTTTTAGGATTAAAGAGGGTGACTGGACGTTTCAACTCAAAGAACTCATGTGACGCTCGCACTTATTCATACACTCTGCCAACCTTTGCCTTCTTGCTCAAGGACCATGAAACACAAGAAGAGAGCTTTCGGCTGAGCCAGGAAACACTGGGCAGGGTTAATGAGCTGCTTGCCCTTTACAAGGGCACCCACAATTTCCACAACTTTACCTCTCAGAAGGGACCATGGGACCCCAGCGCGAAACGTTACATCATGGAGATGCATTGTGAGCCACCTTTCCAGCAAGGTGGTTTAGAGCTTGCTGTAATTAAGGTGAAAGGACAGAGCTTCATGATGCATCAAATTCGCAAGATGATTGGTTTGGTTATTGCAGTGGTAAAAGGCTACGCTCCCATGTCAGTCATTGAGCGTAGCTGGGGAGAAGAAAAAGTAGACATTCCAAAAGCACCTGGTTTAGGTCTTGTATTGGAAAGGGTTCACTTTGAGAAGTACAATAGACGTTTTGGTAATGATGGACTCCATGAATCCTTGGATTGGGCAGAGGAAGAATCTAAAATTGAGTCATTTAAGAAAGAGCATATTTACCCCACCATCATACAAACAGAAATACAGGAAAAATCCATGTCCACTTGGCTTACCACATTGCCCATACATG